TTCATTCATGGAAATTTACAAGTTGATGTACTTCAAGATATCATGTTAATTTTGTGATCTACTCACCACTTTGATAATAATTCTGCAGCTATATCATATCCTAAACATCTTTATATTTCACAAAAATGTTGTTCAACAACTCCGATATGTAAATTTTTTTCCGTGAACCCAATATTCTCTATTAGTCCAAGTAAACATACATCATCTCTAGAAAAATATGCTCTACCATCATAAAGAGAGTTAAATTGTTGTTCTGAGATCCAATTCTATCTCTATATATCTTGTAATCACTACTTGGTATCATTTTTGTTCTTCAGAGTGATATATACATGTGGATTACATTGTTTCATCCATGACATTTGAGCTAGGTAAATTATTTTTCATTCAGTGCTCTAATTGTATCTACATATGATTAATTTTACACTTTGTGATAGTGTTTTCATCACTTCATTTTGCTCGTTTGACAATTCAACTTTCTCACTTACGTCGTTCATCAACATCAAAACAAATTTCATGATAACATTCCGTGACAAAAATTCTCTATTGCTTCTAGTTCAATTATAACTAGAGTGACAACGAGTTGAGCTTGTTTCTAGCTCTTTCCATGAGTTCCCAACTATTGTTTTCTTTCAAACTCGCATTTTCTTTGCTTTGTGGAACCAACTAAGCCGCAAGTCAAGTTTTTTGATGATTTTTGTTTTCCAAAATTTCTTACTCAACTTTTAAATACTCTATCCTCCATGTTGTTGAACAGTCATAGTTGTATGAAACGTTCTCATTGTGGTGCCTGTCAAGTTTAAAAAAATTTATCAATGTGACACATTTGTCTGCATGCATAACATTGACGATTATCATAAATTCCCGCTACTCTTTGAATCGTTCTATTATTTGCATAAACCTCTAGCAAATTTAGAATTTTTTTAAGCTCACCTTCAAATTTCTGAGTCGTTCTTCGTGTTGATGCAAAATCTTCTCTACATGGAAGATTTGCCAAATCCATTGTCATAGGTTTAGATGTATCTTGAAAAATGTTTAATGATTCAACATGTTTGACACTCTAACCACCCGAAATTTGTTCAGTAATTATGATTATTTTGTTCATTATGGATGAGTTGCTTATCCTTATTTATTTTTGAATGCAATCATTTAATTCTCATTTGAACACATTCAAATCTTTTATTACACTCATATCCATAATTTGTATTTTAAGATCATAAAATGTTTCAATGTTGATTTTTTCTTTTTGCTTCAAATCATACAATCTCATTCTATCATTTGAAAACATATATAGAAGTTTTTTCTTGGAGTCATTCCATGAAATAATATAATGTAATAAGTATAAGTATGCATGACGTGTTATTTTTAACTAACAAACGGATTATTGACATGACATAATAAATATTCCATTATCATATATCTATTAATTTTAAATATTTTTGATTTAATTTTAAATAATTAAATATAGTTACAAAGAAAAATTTTCCAAAGTCAAAAAACGAAAACAAGAGTCTTGAAAGATAAAATCAACATATGCACTGCAATCAAAGCAAAAATTATGCGTCAAAATCATTGATCACTTGCAAATCTATCTTCAAATTGAAATTTTGTGTTGAAGATATATTTTATTTCAAAATTTAAACTAAAGAATTTTTTTTTAAGTTTTATAAAATTACATCATTAAATAATGCAATTTTAATTTTAAAGTAAAATTTATCATTAAATTTGAGTTGTATAATAATATTATTTCAGTTTGAAGATGAAATCTTTGAAACTATATAAGTTTATGTTCATATTTATAAATTATGTGGATTTATTTCATTTATTGTACTTTATACCAAAGAATATACATATAATTAAATATTGATCATGTAAATTGTGGTTATAAAAAACAAATATTTTTTTATTTCTATTTTAATACTTATAAATAACATGATTTTGAAACTAATAGCATTATTTGAAATGAAAAAATAGTAATGCATAATATCAATAGAGATATATTTCTTCATCACCCAGTGCTATGTGACGTACCTCAGACATGTGCTTGTTTGGAGTGGTAACACCACGAGGCAGGAACAAGAGAAAGTGTGTACGTCAATACAACATGACTCGGAAGCTTTGCCTGTGTCACCTGAAGCTTTAGCATTCCCTGCGGGTCTTCCAGACGAAGAATGAGACTCAGAGCACACTGCAGAATTCACGTGAACTATCTGTCTCGTGGATTTGACAGCTCCTTGGTGATATACGCAGGCAAGATCAGTAGCAGCGTATGCATATTAACCAAGCCCGTTCGTGGTAGTTTGTATTTGGGAGACGATCATCTCGAAATAGTATCGTGATGAATGTGAGAAGGTGATGGACCCTGCAATCTCTGTCGCAAGGAAAGAGCTGAAAGAAAAAGAAAGAGGCATGGAAGAAGACTCTGTGCAGTGATATCTGGATTGGTTACTTCCGGCTTAGTTTTTCTCGGTCAGATATTGTTTTACAGTATGCATTCAATTCATGACATTTTGTCCATGATGAGGATGTTCAGTTGACTAACATAGTAAATCATCTGCGTGGGCAAAGAACATAAAATCCAAAAATTTCGATCATTGAAATACCACCGCGTCATCCAGCTTCACCGTGATTTATTCTAGTTAGCAGGATGCATCGGTATGGTGGATCTCCTGAATGACAAGACGACTGAATGATAAGCATTTTTAAGTTCCACTTTCGACCTTCTGATACTTCGGTTAGCTGACACACTACCGCTTGGAACTGTAGGAAAGTCTCACTTGTAGATATCGACATTGTCTGCATTTCTTTGCTCTAAATCTCTAAACATTCGACAATTGATTGAACGGAAGAATTGGTATGTCAAATGTCCATTAAGGTGTACGTGGCAGTGAAAGTTTCTAGTATCGCAACCTCACATCACAAGAGCGCATAATAATCTAGATAGCAGGAAAGTGCAAATTAAGAGCATACGTGCGGTTAGATCCCGAAAGACAACTTATTTGGATCTGATGTGGTCAATGTGAGCCGACTCACTTGACCACATTAGGAGTTCAGTAAGTAAGTCTTCTTGGAATTTGAGTCCTCATGGAAGTCCACTTGTTATGGAAGTCGGCTCCGGACATATACATGTGGTGGGCTTCTTGACTGTCATAGTTGGTCGATCGATGACATCTTTCATGCAGCTTGGCTTTATCTTTCAAGCTCTGACGAGCAGAATAATTTACATCATGTACGTCAATTCTACAATATCATCTCAAAGGTGGCACATGTCAGCCTTACTTTCACACTTTACGTCTCAGCGTTTTGACAGATAATAAGTGCTGAGTCTCCTCGTGAATTGTCCCTCTGGCAAGCTTGACGTTTCCTTGGTGTTATCTTCAACGGAATCATGTGAAAACATTCGACTTTAAAGTGATTGTGCCTCAAGTGTCGAGGAGAATTACTCCTGTGGCAAGTATGATTTAAATAAGTTCTACAAGTTTTTGCAAAAGTCGAGAGCTGAACCTCTCAGTTTCCGAACTGTAACCTATGCAAAATTTCACGTTTCTTATCTCTGTTGCACCATCAGTTTGTAAACTTACCATGGTAGATATCGCAACAATCTTTATATTAGAAACATTTTTTAATCTTTAATTTATATCAATAATAAAGGTAATGATTAGGTAATGTTAATTATCCCTTGTGAGTACATCTCAGTTCACACATTTACTCAGCGTCTCGCTGAGGGTTATCCGGATGGGTCCGCAGGTACGTTCCGCAAAATTATTAATCCACCTGCGACAGTACACGGACATACTCTCCAGAGACTACGGGCCTCTTTCATTGCGTGTCTCAAATGTATCCATGTGCTCAAAATTGCTCCTATTAGATTATTTTTGAATGTGTAGGGTGAGGTATAATTAGCATAATTAATTATCTATTTCATAATTCTACCTGAACCTTTGTTTGATAACTACGAAATCAAAAGAATATAGGGTGTCATTATTCTCCGATTCCTCAACTGCATCCACGGTTTCTATCAGTCAAGTCAGATTCATAACGGAAATTGGTAAAATTATCTATAAAAAAACACCTCTCAATGAGTTAGTCCACTTTTGAAAAATTCCAACGTTGTTGCGATGACTTAACTGCAGTAGATGACGCTCATAGCCATTCCACTTCTTGTAGCACATAACATTTTTTGGACGGAAATCGGGTCAAAACTGACGGCAACCCCCGTACAAGATTGTGGAGAGCTATATTGTATAGCCATAACAAACATGTGTTAATCGACTAACTGATTAGGTTTTTTCAATTCATGAAAAAATGAAACAAGAAATTTTCAAACTTAGAATGTGGAAAGAAATTTATTAAGATGGAAAATTGGCAGAAAATGTAAATTTGGCTCATTATACAACCGGGTTTGCCATATTTCTCGCAGTATTCAGAAACTATTTTTAAGTATAGCAATAAACTACTCGGGGGCTCTTTTGAGATCGTAAATGAACATTACTGTCACTGGCTTTGTTAATAAGGATCCGAGTCGATAGTTTCTAGGAGTCGGGTCTTTCACGACATCTCACTTGCAATCAGAACTTGTTGAAAGACTTCGTGTCAGAACTCACATGGTATTCTAAACACATTTCAGCATAATATTTCTGATTCGAAAGTGCACTTTCCCACATAATCGATTGGAAATAGTAGTCTGCAAATTATGATGAACATGTGATAACTGATCGGTATTGAGATGACTAGAAATGAAGAATTCGTTTTGTTCAGAAGGTTGCTACTGCAGGTGTTGAGACCAAGCCTCTAGAATTTTAGTATCTAAGATTGCAATCGAAATGAGTCTCTTGTAAGTTTCGTGAAAGAGATTGATATAAGCTCATTTTTCTACTAAATTACGAACATATTAATTCAAGTCTGACTAACACTTGAGATCATAATATTGTTGCACACCCAAGCCAGCTCGGAGTATAAATTGTATGCGCGAAGGTTTCCTTGCTATCCTCAGAAGGAGAACCACAACTGCTTTCATCGGGACGGCATACATTGAACTGAGGTCTATGTTGTTTCACGGAGAATACCTTTCAGATCGTTCAGCAAGCTCGTGAGGGTCTCGGCGGAACAGCTTGAACGTACCATCAACATACGGTCTCTAATTTTTCTGCTCATTTTGTTCTCGTTACAATGTACTCTTTTCCTTCGAGTTCTATTTTATATTTGCCTTCACTCTCGATCTTGCGTTGCTGTGTATAACCTCGCAAAGTGATATCAGCTACAGAAGAAAATTCGATCATGTTTCTAGAGCAATTTGATGTTTTCAGACTAGAATGAGAGAATACTTACGAGTGTGGCTTGTTCATGTAGGGTGACTTTGATAAGCAGCTCGAGGACACATTCAACACCTCATTAGCAAAATTTGGAATGGGTCCTCCACAGCATAGTAGTGCTCAAACTAAACTTTTCCCGCAACGCATAGAAATGTGTTGTTTTTAATAATAGTTTCACGTATTGGTGACTATCTCAAATGCGATTTGAGTTTAAATTTGGAAACTTGCATGTTAGTCAAATTCTTTACTTAAGAGCTATATAGTAGTATGTAGATGGGATCAATTGATAGATATCATAAAGTTTTGAACGAGCCAAGCTGAAGTTGGGCACGGATGAATGACAGGGCGAGGTGACAAAAGAAAGAAAAGCATTGCCCGAAAACGTGCACGACATAGTGAGAATGAAACTGAGGAGGTCCAAAGGTGGGGGGAATTGCATGATTCCGTCGTGGAGAAGATTCTCAGCTACATCCCGGTTCCCAAGCTGCTCCAATTCAGAAGCGTTTGCAAGCACTGGAAACGGATGATCGATTCTCCGCAGTTTCGATGCCTCCGACACCAAGTTCCTAGCACGACGCAGACCAGTTTCCTGGTGCTACAGCTCTGCTTCAGCCATGCCTACATGGGCTGCGACTGGATTTCACTGCACAACAACTACTTCGCCTTCAACAGCCTCAACATTCGCGTCTTGCGCATTTTCAATCCTCTCCTGAACTCATGGTACACGTTTCCTCCCTCGGTCCTCACACGGGGAGAGATCTTCTCCAGGTCGTACCACCGTGGACTGTGGTGCATTCAACTTCTGAGTAACGGGGGAGACGGAGACATGACGCAGATCATGATCCACAATCCCACCTCGGGATGGATCAAAGAGGTACCAAGCTCAATAAATCCCAAACTGAAGGTGCTTATTTCGTTGGTGGTGGAAAAGGAGTCGAGCAACTTCAAACTTATTTCCAGTGGTTGCACCATCGCCGGATGCACATTCAGGCAAGAAGTGAGTCTTCATACACAAGTGTATGATTCTGTTACCAACAGGTGGAAATCGGCAGGGAATCTTCCCAATCCATTCTTGCAGTTCAAGACCGATGGGTACCTGCACGTGATGTACGCCGTGGCTGATCACTATGTTTACTACATAGTGGGCCGATCCAGAAGAACACAGGCAGAGTTGGACAGCTCCGACATAGAAGTGGGCACTTCTGAGTTCCATTGGAACTGGTTCACGAACCTCTTGGCATTCGACCTGAATGATTACGTGTGGAAGCTCGTCCCCGGTGACTTGCCATTCGAGGTCACGAGGAGATCGAAGATTAAGCTGTTCGAGAGAAATGGTGCGCTCGTCCTCGTCGAGCTCGCTCAGACCGAAGAACGTGAATGGAAAATGTCCATTGGCTGGAAACCAAGGATCTACTCCTGGGACCGCCAGAGCTCCCCGGATATGTTAATATGGACAGAGATTGCAGTCACCCCTCCGCCCACGGAGCGGCAGTTTCAGAAGCTCTTCTACCATCAACGTGGTCATGAGTATGCAGGACTGTGGGCCGGCCAAGGAGATTGTATTGTCTTCTTCTCCGGTACTTTCTGGGGCCATCGTGCGCTGCTCTACAACATTTCCTCGAGAATTTGGACTGTGTCGGAGTTTGGTCCTAAGAGGCCAAAGAGATCCAAGTGGTTCATGCCGTTGCCTTTCGACCTGAGCCTCAACCGTTAGCCCCTACTTTACGTATATCAGCTGTGCCAGTATAGATTAATACTTTTGTGAGCTATCCATACGGATGCAGTTTACAATGAAGCTCAAGGCTAGCTGAATTATTTCCTTCGATTTGTTTTACTGCTATTTCGATTTTTCTGTAGTTATAATAGTTATGATTTGGTTTGCCCTTATCAACTATAAGTAGTATCATTTGTGTTAATTGTACTATAGATTAAGGCGCGTGGCTTTGGGATCAATAAATAAAGTAACTGATCCCTATGAATAAAGGTATTGAACTCAGGTTCAATTATTGTATTGATTGCTCTTGATCTTAGCCATACCCGTTGTTCAGGTGATGAGATGATAAACTGAGTTATTTTACTGGTGGGGATGTTCGCCTCTTGTTTAATCTTATGGAAGCTCACAGAAATATCCCGCCTGTTAAGGGGAACGCATTTACGGGTTGGTCATTATGGGTTCCAGCCATTAACTAATACAGTGCCAACGATAACCAAATAATTTAACTTTGTATTTCCAGCACGTGAATTCTGTTGAATTAGGAGTACATCATACTGTACTACAACAAAACGCTTCAGAATTTTAGACCTTGTAAATGCAGGCAGGAAAAAATGAATTGATACTAGATTTATATTTATAGGTGATAAACTATATCAGTATAATCAATTCTTAATGAGAATAATAAAACATACAGCTCATTTGTTGTCCATTTCTTTATCGTACTGATTCAGAAACAGTCATATGATACATACGAAATACCTTGACACATAAGTCTTTATATTCCAATCAAAACAGCTATTTATATTTAGATAACTTCCATACGATACCAAAATCGTGACTAAAAGATGGGAGACTGTCGGCTGAACCAAAGTGGTTGAATCTTCAAATCTGTACGAGAAATTTATTTGATGCGACCCCTCCTGAACACAAATAGCTTACTCGTACCTAGCACACAATACTTTACCCGATGGATACCACCAACGGCACACCGTAAACCATGTTTAAATATTGAAACATACATTTTATTTCTAACGTAAAGAGCATCCCCAGATACGACTCTCGAAAGAGTAAAGAGAGAAAACAATGTACACTTAGTAGAGCAGCTACTGTGCTCTTGGGCACACTCTCAACGGATAAGATGGACACAAAGACTAAACCTCATGTTTAGTTTTAATTGGCAATACAATACATGGCATACAATACGTTTCATTTCAATTTACAATCAACATATTGAGATGCACATACGATGTTTTGCGCAATATTTTCTTGCAAGTTTTCTATTGCAATTGCATCGCCAACTTCATTGCAGTTGTGTGTGTTGTTAACTTGCAACCCATGGCTTGACATTTGCACCATGCATGAATATGATTCAATTATATGGACTCGGCAACGCATCAAAATATCTTGTATCTTGATTGCTTTTGAGTCTTTTTGCAGGACTTCCATACCATTATTAATCTGCATGTAGAGGCGCTCCAAATGTTTGATCGCCATACCAAGAATGTCATATATTGGATGGTTATATCTTTTTTGAATATTTTTTGCTTCGAAAAAAATTTGTCTATTTGACTTGACTTCAAATGGAGCCTGCAACATGAATGGATGCATTGCTGGTGTTGTCAAATGTCTCAACAATGAGATGCACATTGAGTGTATACTAGTTTGTGTTTGTTGTGGAGCACATCATTTAGAACTCATAGTGAAACACAACGTAGACAATATTGAAAAGCATCAATTTTTGCAATCATGAAAGGATTCATGATGCGCTTGATGTGACAACAAAATTAAACTGCGGATTTTCAAACAACATACCTTGGAGTTGTCAATCGTTAGCTATCTACAAAGAAGATCATTAAATGATTCAAGATTCATTGACCTTAGTTGTTTGTCCATATCAAATATTAAGAAGCAACTTTAGTTCAATCTCGTCCATGGTAGAAATCTCTGTTTGCAATGCATCACTCCACCTAAAAAAATTACTTTTTGTTTGATTCGGAGATTGACAATGCTATTGGATCATACACAAGCTCTTTTGGATGAGCTCGTCGTATCTTTGATAGGTGACCGCATAAGCTAGTCAAACTATCGACTACCGAGTTTATTCACAGGGCCCGTCAGTATAGCTATCGACTAGAGCACCATTATTTGACAAGGTATATTGATGCTATTGCCGAGAAGCATAAGCTCCTACTCCATGCTTACCGATCTTAAACTGTTCTCAAGCAACATTGCGTTGTCTAGTCAATCAGATTTCAAATATGATTGAAGTTTAATCACATCTAGATAGCCAAACCTGATGGAGTTTTGTGGTGTCTTAACCATCTTCTTTCTTGGAATGAGCAACGTGGAGTCGTAATTTTTGTTCCGCAATGAGAAAAGTACAACTTCCACAAGAGCATGTTTGATTTTTAATTGAAGGATGTGCTGAAATCAAAACAATGAATGTTCATTGAGAAATTTGAGCAGTGATTTGCACTCCAAATGCTTAATAAAAGCTCACATTTAAACATAGCCTTAACTAAAACTAAACAAAGATTTTATAGAGCAACTAAATTTAAACGTCCGATTAGGCTAATTAGGATTGTTATTGCTTGATTACATGTCAAACTAAATTGATTGCATTGTAGATTCTTGATAGATAATATTTGAATAATCAAGACAAATAAAATAAGATAGTGCACAAGAAGTACCACAATTATGAGTAGGAAATTTGGACAAGATCATTTTTCATCGAGTCTAAGTTAATAACTTAAGAAATTACAAGTCAAAACTACAGCGATGCAACGTCTACTTTGCTTGCAATTGACAAGCTAATGGCAGTGAAATGGAGCCAAAAAACTATGTAATTCACCTGTTTAATGTTATTGAAGCAGACAAAGAATTTACCAATTGTATTTAGCCATCCCACATTATCGTGTGTGGGTGATTGGATGCACACTAAGCTTATAACTAATTGACCCGCGTTGGTGTTGTAGAGCACTCATACTCATCATTAGAGTTCTTAGAGCACAGAGTGAGGTTTTGTTGATGGAAATCTGCTGCACTTACAATCGTCGGAATAACCAAGAACGCAAGTCACCAGATTGATGCTCCCATCGCAACAACGAGGAGTCTCACTCCCTTACACAATATCCTGCAACATAAAGTTACAAGAAATTTTTTAGAATATGCGTGACGGTGTTCTTGACATGTCCAAGCCATTTGTGTTCCACTGGCATGCAATCAAGTAATTTTCTGAATCTGAACAGAAGATAACTAAGTTGATTGAACTATAGATTCCTTTATGACCACACACTTCAATGCTAGATTATGGAGTTAAAATATTTAACTTACTCCTAGTGCAAACATAACTAATTGCAAAATTTATTCAAGTGATAACACAACAAACTAAAAGTTGATGCACCTACATTAAATCACAACATTTGCATTTTCTGTTGCGCATACTCATATAAGTTTTTCATTGAAAAATCATCTATTAGTGTTAGAAGTGAACTATGTGAAAAATATATTTTGTACTCATCAAAATACAAACATGATAACATTATAATATAGCTCAAGCAATACAATTAAGTATATGAAGTAATAGATATTTTCTTTCTAATCTCAACACATGTGATATATGATTGAAAATCATTTACTGAAATAAATAGATTCATCCAAAATCTTAAATTAAAAAACATGAGCAAAATGGTTTTTATTGCATATGATTTCAATTCAAATAGACATAAAAAAATATATATTAAAAAAAAATATTATGAAATACAATGTAGAGTTTGTCTTACTATTTGAAGATAATTGATACACCAAATCATTATAAAGGTAAAAGTACCTTTCACATTCATCTAGGATTGATGTAGATTACCTTTTAAACGTTTGCCATACAAGCTCCACAACAAAAGTCTAAAAAGTTCTTCACTACTTTGATTTTTGGTCAATACGCTACCAAGTTTATCAACTCCACAACGGAAAACTAAAAATTTCTTCACTCCTTTGATTTTTGGTCAATATGATACAATGGTTACAAGTGACATTCTTAAAGAATGGCCTTATTGCATGCCATCAAATTTGCCATCTCTTGTGTAACACTAGGGTTTAGAGAAGTTCACTCGAAGATGTAAACATAAACTCTAAAGATGAGAGATACCAAAAATAATTTTCCTCTCATTTATATAGCTCTCACCAACAAATGCAAGGAGATAAGATTTTATCCTCGCCATCTATCCCACTCCTAGTGAATAAATGACGTGGCAGTAAACTCTAATAAGCACACGGATCGCTGATGTGGCGTTGTCAATTAACACATTTATTCTCTACCTACTAAGCGCGAGGATAGTTGACGAGACAACTATGACTAGTGCACGCTAAAGTATCTATATCCACATTGAGAGTAACATCTACTTTAGTTTTAACTAACTAAAAATAGTTACATCGTGTTTCACCATAGTTTTCTCTAAATCTGAGATACAACTTTTAATGAGATTGATGTTAGATATCAAATTGAAACCACGATAATGTCTACTTTTATAAAGGTATGATTTATTTTGGCCTCTACTTATATGCAATATCATTGGAGTTTTAAGATGACATATAAAACAATTGACCAAAATTTATTTACTTGGAAAAATCTAATAGATTTTTTTAAAAAAATTTTTCATATTGAAATTTAGACATACTAACGTAAGAACATATTTACCCTGCAGTCATATACATAAATGTATTTGATCACAAATAAAAAAAATAAAATATCATGGTTTGAAAGTATTAAGACAATATTTGACATAATTTTTGAAGTCACTCAATATGCCAATTTTTTGGGCTAAAAACTATGATTATTCTCTGGTTTAATTCTTGCATAATATAGTTCAATAATTGTCATGAACGAATCATCTCAACATGTATAGCTGTATCAAGTAAGAATATTCTTATGAACTCAAATTATATTAGTGTAGACTATCACCGCTTCAAGTGAGCAAAATGACCAAATGTAATACAGATGCCGATGTGGTAAATGTTTTCATATATTGTGCCCTTATATTGCTAGACTGATAGAATTTTTTTCTTACTTCTTTTATACAGTCTTTGATAAAAAAAAGTCCCATACTCTTGCATTTAAACATCTATTATTGTAATTGTGTTTATCTAGTTTATGATTGTTTGAACTGGTGTTTCTTGTTCCACGAATGATTTTTGAATCTTTGAAATGAAACATATTTAAACCATGCGAGAAAAAATTTCTGGTATTTTTAACTTTCGGATATCATAAGTGAAAGAATATGATTCTGTGCACTAAAGTCTATCATGGTTTAACAAACAAATGGCCCAAAGGAGACTCCCGTACTTTCCAGTATGTTAGACCAGTTAATATAATATAGAATATAGCCAAAGCTCAAAGAAAAAAATGAACTTGGACTTAAAGTTTTTTGACAATTTTATTAGATGCTAACTGCTATGGAACTAATTTCATATAACTTTCCGTTTAAGACATGGAAGTGCAAATATCATTAGCGCACCGCAAGTACTGTACAGCGCAGCTGCTGATGATAGATGGGATCTTACTTTTCAAAAGACTCAGTAAGCTGAAGTGCTACTCAATTCTAAAAGGTACGAAAATTGGGAATCCAGGGGATTGGAAGACCACATACAAGGCTGAAAGCCAACGGGTATAATGAATGACCTATGCAAACACCGATCACGTTCATACATTTCACAATTGTTCGGTATCAGCCGGTCAAAGGCCGTTTTCCTGCCCAATCGTTTTCCTGCCACTGTCTCTGCGGCATAAGTCGTCCGCTGGCAAGCAATGGTCTTGCCACGTCAACCTCTATCCAGCGAATGAACACGCAAGCTTGTAAAACTCACCGGCAGTGAGCTGGACTTGAGACGAGTGATCGGGATACATAAACATCTGTTTCACACTGACCAGTCAATGTTTCCATTTCAGTCTCGGCATAGCAGTCGCCGAGACTGAAACATTCATACAGAGAGAAAACAGAAAGAAATTGCTCGAAAGATTGGAGACGGAATAAACAGCAACACATTAAAGGAAAGAGCCATTCATGATCAGCTTAAGCACGCATGGATCGAGACGAGAGACAAGAGGTTCTTTTCGAAAGCAATTAGCTTCAGATCTCTAGAGGTAGAGTCCGGTATTATTTCTTAGCTCCCGTACGGGACACTTCGCACAATGGGAACCATGGAGTGGGGTTAACTTTTAAGGGAGCTGCGAAATTCGGAGCAGCTCCGTGAGCACGAGCTAGCGATTCTAGTCGGTGCGTGAGCGTGTCTGATTGATTAAGGGTGCTGTGATCCTGAAATTAGGCGGATCCCGAGCGGTTGATTAATCTGGCTGAGCTGCCGCTGCTTTCACGACCTCGTAATGAACGGATCCGATCATCAAGCAGCGCAAAGAATGTCCGGACCATAAACTGGGTCCGGATGGCGACTGTGTACAATTCTATGGAGCCGGCGGCATGCGCTGAGACCCATGAAGGCTTGGGCCTTGGGGCGGCCGATCGCTCTCGGAGCGCGAGAGGCTCGAGAAGCTCGAGGCCGTGCTGAATTCAGCTCTCGCCCATGCCGTGAGAGTAACTTGAAATCGTGTGAGGTTTCTGGCCTGTGAAGTAATGAAGGGATGGACTGTCGATCGATTGCTCGCAACCGGAAGCGCTGATCCATGTCCTCTGAAGTTGTAGGTGTCCTTGAGCTAACCGCTTTCGAATGCATTGGATTTGATTTGGTTGGAGCTCCAGTCAACTCGATCTAGATCCGACACCGTGCACGTCGATGATAAATCTAATCTACCGAACCTAGCTACTAGTTCACGACGTTGCACTTTCTCCGGATCTGGCCCTTGCTGCCCGTGAGCACGTCCAGATTGCCCAGTTTCACCATGGCAGCTGCGAAATCCGAGCTGAACGGAGAGCCTTTCTTGTTGTAGTTTTGCACGATCTTGAGACCCTGCGAGTTCCGCTTCGTGGCGTCGTCGGACTGGAACAGAACCTTGCCCTTGAGCACGTTCGAGTAGAAGTTCTGGTCCCAAGTGTCCTTGGTGCTTGATTGGTCCATTTTGATGGTAGTTTTCGTGTCCCCGAACTTGCACTGCTTCTTGAGGGACGCAGCGAACGCCGGATCGATGGACGGGTCTGTCGGGGCTGTCTTCGAGAAATTGTACAGACGGCTTTGTATATTAGAGCAGTGAGCGACTCCGATGGTATGAGAACCTGCAGATCCGATCATACAGCTCGGTTAAGTCTGAACGAGGCGAGACACCTTCGATCTTCACGAAGTTGGCAGAACTTGGAGCCTGACCATGTGATTGCATTGATTATTTCTCGTGCAGCTCTTTTAGAGAGGGTAGGCAATTCATGAATACGACTGGGTCACGGGGATGAGAGGCTTACCAGACAGAGTGACCATCTCCTTCATGGAAAATCCTTTCCTGTTGAAGAGGCTCACTAAAGAATCGAAATTGAAAGAAGGTGGGGGCAAGTCCTCGTTGGCTAGTTTGACGGAACTGGATAATCCATCTCTTCGACCCAGCGAGACAGTATAATTCAATCCTCCAAACTGCGTGCCGACAGAACGAGAGGGATAGGTTAGGACGATCAAGTCAAGTCCAGTCCCGTCCAGACCAAGGCATGGCATGGCTCTCAGGCAAATTCATGAAAGCATTTTGTCAAATTTCATCGTGGAACTCACCGCTTGCATGGCATCTCGGGCAGCGAGAGTCAGGATATCAGAGCAGGAGACAACCCCAGGGCACAGAGCTTCGACTTGCGTTTTGACGCTGTCAATCACTTCGAACCCTCTGAGAGAATTTTTATTTCCGAAAGCGTCTTTCTCTCCCGACACTCCCGCTTTGGAGTCTAAAAGCACAGAAGCATCGCAACCCTGCAGCATTCAGCCATTTTACAAATTGCAGATCAGAGTACAGCACTATAATGGAAGATATGCATCTCTGGGCTCGAGGAACCCTGAAGGCTGCTGTATAAACCCCAATGTCGCCCTTGGATCTGGTGATATCTCGCATCTGAAAGATCAAATCGTCTTAATGACAGTTACTCAAGGGAGTCTTGGGATGATGTCAAGCAACTCATTGTATTTAGCGTACACTGGACATATGGTTATCAAGCCTAGGAATGGAATTGAACGAACTGCACGAAACTTAGGCCATCCTGCCCCTCCCTAAGGTTCAGACAGCGGAATTCTCAAACTGTAAAGCAGCTCCCGGCCAATTCTATCTTTTCTGTTGAGGTTGGTGAAGTCGATCTGACTGGCACCTCGAATTGTAGTCTCGAGCAACGAAGGGTAATACGGAGACGCTACCAATTGCAACATAGTATGAGTTAAGGGGAGCTGCTTACCTGCACAAAGCAATCATGGAAGTGGAGTCGTAGAAGAGCAGGTGCAAGAGTCCTGTCCTTTGCGACGGCGGCTTTGACAACTTCAGCGACTTTAGCCACTCCCTTGGGGCATTTGGAGTTGTAGAAGGTCGGTGACAATTGAGCCTCGGCGGTAGAAGAAGCAAGGACCACCACTCCAATGATGCACAGGAGCCACCTCGAGGCCATGTTCCAGCTACCGCAGGGACATGCACAGCGTGTGCGCGAGTCTTGGTCCGCTGTTTTTTCTGGTATTTTTTGTTCCTGCCACGTCAAATTGTTGCAGTTGCAGAAAGCATCAGTACAGCCAGCAAACACTCAATCTGCAGCTGTATCTATTCAGCGGTTAGCCGAGAATTGGGAACTTCGGCAGCCACTTGCAAGAGTGACCTCTGCTCACGTGCTCTACTCCCGTCCCACCGTTAACAGGCTGTCCAATGCTTCAAGTTGTAAGCTTCGGAAGCTGTTGACGATGGTCTGAACCACACGAAGGCGCCTATGAGAATTCCTTACACTAAACCTGAAGAGAAATCAACAGACTGCTTCCAACTGCAACTCGAAAGCCTTCCATGGTACGTGATCACTTATGCGGTTGCATGAAATCGCTGTGATTACATGCATTTCTGAGCTGTGCTGTCTGAGAAAATTAACACTTTGTGACAAGAAATAAGTGCCCTACAGAAAATTCAGTTGTGTGATTCAGAAAAGCTGTGGCTCAATGTCATGAGAACAGAAGCCTTCATTCTACATTCTGGCTCAACGAGTAGTCGGAAGAAAATTTAGATGACATTCACCAAACAGCTACAATTTTTCGTGTGCTGCGGAGTCTTTCATCAAGCATTGCATCAAACTTGGAGAATGCACGTGAATGAGTAGTTTAACAGCAGTGGGCATGGAGTTTCCCTATTGCTGTTAAACTTTGTGCAGGCAAGCACAAAATTCTTCAGATGGACTCGTCGATTATCGACGAGTCCATAGACATTCTAGACTGCGGGCAGGAAATTTCCTCCCTTCAAAACTCAAGCAGCCATTGATTGCATCAAAGAAACATACAGTCTAACAACAATAACAATTGTAGTTCTGATTTCACACCTGACGTCTAAATTTTTCAGGTGAAAGAGAGAGGAGTTGACCTGTCAGTAGAAGCCCGACACCTTTTGAATGATTCGAGGTTTTTTTATAAAGTTTTCAGAAAAGACAACTCAGAAAGCTACACTCAGATGACGATGAAGCAAAATCGGAATCCAAACTTTGAATAAATTTTTGATTGAGGTGAGGGGGAACGATCTAGAGTGTAGGAAACTATCTAAATTCTGGAGGTAAAAGGTGGAAGAACAAGGAAGAAAATAAAGTTTCTACGTTTCTATCTCAAGCCTGCGCTCGAGATAGACCTGGGGAGGCCTGTCTCTGAGGGAGTGGGGAGGGGAAGGGCGATGGTTGATGGATCTCCGGCCCTCACCTCATTTATACACGGCCTCGGGTCATGGACACGGACTCAGAAAGCTACGGATGGTCAAGAGTGCGAGGGGACGCTGTTTCAGTCCATCAGCATCGCCGGCACCTTTGGGTGCTAGTCCCGCGCCTGATTGCCAGCGCCATGGGCTTGCGAGAGAGGCAGGCGGGCTCAGCCGACTTTCGTCAGCTCGCAGAAATACAAGCGACCGATCATGATGTGTGCACGTCGAGCGGCTGTCCTTGGGGGCGACGCGCAAGGGGGAGCAGAGAGTCCTGAAGGCTAGGCCGAATTTCGCCGCACGAAAATGCGCTATCCAGATCGAGAGCCATCGTGTCGAGAATCATCCCAGTTCTCTTGCTCTTCCGGAGTGTATTCTGTTGCCGTGGTGGGGCCGCCGGTCCTCCCTCGAGCGTGTGCATTCTTCCTCCCCTTCGCCTTGCAAGCTCTCGCTCTCTCTCTCAACCTCCTCACCACCACGAATCTCGGATCTCCCTTCTCAACGCTCTGCTCCCCAGACACGCTCTTCTGCAAGCTGTCCTCTCCCCGTCCCCCACTCAGTCCCGACGTCGTCATCCCCCGCCCACCCAGCTTCCCGTGGCTCGAGCCTCCCCCATTTCGCTCGGGGCTCCACCTGCCTGCGTCCATGACCCATCGCCCCGGCAGACGATGCATGTGATTGTGGGACTCTCGTATTATCGTCCGCTTAACTAAATCCCTTAAGGCTTATTCCTCGCTCTCTCTCGACTAATCGAGGCCCCCTCTACCATTCATCACAATGATCCGACGTGCTCCTTTCACTGAGGGCGAGTCATGTGACTACGGGGACTGGTATAATATCTCTTTCTTCCCACACGTTTCACAATTTTAATTCAGCTGGGCTCAATCCGAACAGTGATTATCTAATCCAGGAGCTTGTTCTTGCAGTGGATTATCGTAATCGGAAGGTCAATGCTTCTTAAGAGATTCCAATGCCATTTACTCTCCGGGCAAGTCGAGGGAACTGAAGTGGACATTTACTGATTTCACCAGCCTGGCGTTACGACCTGGCTCTTACGCTGGGAGGAGAGGCCTGGAGCTCGGAGTACACGCTGTGGGGCAATGTGAGGTTAGGAATGCAGGTCAATGGACCGAAGTCCCTAAGCTCCGTAACATCTGGCTTTACGACGATCCAGGTTGCACTTGACCGGGATGAACGTGTTGGGCAGTAGGTGCTCGTGTGCGACTGATGGACTGACTGCACTTTGCCGGGGACTCGTTGCCGGGATGTGGCTCGGAATGTTGAAATGCGATCTGCCTCTCGTCGCTCGATTGATGCGCGTCACGTAGGGGAGAATGGAGAATGGAGAATGTGCTGCTATCTTTGGAGCATCCACGTGCTTTAGCTCGGGGGCTCTTTCTCCCCATCTAGGGCAGGAAAGGCTTCACTACCCCCGGCTGCGAAGGGTCTAAGGACACCCTGAGATTTTCTCGGCTTGACTTCAGGCATGAAGTCCAGAGATTTGCCGAATGACTCGCCGGTGCCCAACACACGCTTCGTGCCTCTGCATCGAGCAGCTCGGATTTCACTTTGGCCTGCTAAATCTGGGCCGGCGTGACTACAGGAGTCGTCCTCACACGCATCTCTAACCTTCGGTCGCTTGACTTGTAGGCAGCCAGCCTCCTTCGAAGTGGACGTTCTCTAATTGGTTAAGATATTCTTCGATATTCATGCCCATGAACACAATTTCATGATTCCAGATTCAACTCCTGATTTCGGAGTTGAATCTGGAATACATTTTTCAGACCTTACGAAATCATTCGACAGGCCACAGAACCACTTTCTGAACGTCCGAACACGCTCGGAGAACTGATTACACCGACTAAAATCATATAACCGGGATCGGGAATATTTCACGGGCGGGCTGTCGACGGAGCCCATGGGCACCTTGCAGACCGATCCAAAACCCTTTGTGATTGATTGCTTCGGGATAAATGAATGGTTGCAACGCTTTCTGGGAGCACATAGGAAGCAAATATTCCCCAGCTCGGTACAATCATCAGAGGAAATTGTCCTATCTGCCAGCCAACACACTCCCTATAAATAAATAATGCGCTCAAAGTCCACTTTGCTCCTCCTTTCCCTCTCCATGTTTGGCGCTGACTTTGCAGCAGCAGCAGTTTCTTCTCTTTCCTTTCCTTCCTTCGCTCAAGAGGACATAGACCAGCTCCCGGCGGTTGCTTATCTGTGTACATGTATGTATTGTACGCACATGTTTATCTACCAAATAGTCTGCAGCAGCTGAAGTATCTCCCGTCTGCGTCTGCCCTCTGACCATTAGGCCGCCACGGACGCAAAATTTCACCTGGAAGCGGAGCAGATGGCTGTACAGGGATCGAGAGCCCGGTCATTTCTGCAGGTCGATGGGGAGGAGACGTAGTCGCTCGATGGGTGACAGTTGGGCGGTGAGTCTGGCTGGCATGCGGAAAACTTCGCTGCTCTCTGTTGACTGGGTTGCCAGGAACCAAGTAACCGCGCTGTGACCGCGCTGTAAGCGAGCTGGAATGTTGAGAAGCGTGCACCGAAGGGCAATGATTCTGAGCCGACGACTCTGCACTCTAGATCCCCGCTCTCACGAAGTCAATGCCCGTCCCGTTCGTGGAAACCTCTCCACGAGACCTACGCGCTCAAGCCCCTGCGAGGAAAGTAGGGAGGGGAGCTATGAGAGAGAGAGAGAGAGAGAGAGAGAGAGTCTTTTGTCGATCCGTCCCCAGCCTTCCGGCACTCGCAGCTCCCTCTCCCTCCCCGACCTCGTCTCTCACTTCACGACCCCATCGCTCCGTCGATGACGACAAGCTCATGATCGGGTTCGGACAAACTATTTTTGTTCGAGGCCGGGTTTAGGCGAGTCTGTCAAGATGCTGATTTGTTTGTGCACTTCGAACTCGGGCCGATCCCGTTGGTAAGTTTGTAGACTTTGCGCTTCTGGTTAGAGGGAGCCTCGAGCAGTAAGTGGTCAGGAGACATTGACGTTCGGGCTCGGTGCGCTACATCTACGAGCTCGACGGGTCCTCCGTTCACCGATGAACCAGTAGCATGATCGGGGTTGCGTTTGGCCGTCGTCAAATTCAATTTGGTTGGAGCCGTGATCATTCTGTAAGTGTTTCTAGTCGATCGTGTGCCTGTTTACAGGTGCTGCACGTCCCCCCTCCGTGCCCTGGAGCGCTGCTCTGCGAGCAATTAAGCTCGTGTTAAAAGAATATACTCGACGCCGCACCGGTGATCAGATTGGTATCCACTCCCAGGATTGGATATCAATCTGATCTCGTGATGAACGCCTTGATCAATGAGCCTGATCATGGGGTTTGATTACTTTGAAGCCAACCTGATAGAAATTGTAATCTTCTTAAAACCATGGAGGCGTGCACCGTGTTGTCGAGCTCTAACTCACCTGAAGACGAAGCTGCGCGTAAGCTAAAAGTGCCCACCTGCAAATGTCGAGTGGTGGTACACAGAGGAGACAACCCATCGGATCTCCGAACCGCCTCGCAAGCGGATTTGTGGATCTCGTTTTCGTGAGCTCCTCTGGCTGCTACTCTAGGGCCATGCATTTGAGATCAAGGAGAACGAGCAATGCTCGAGATCTCTGACGCATTCGCATGAGCTGCTTCCTGTGGGTCGTCGCGGTGTTTCTTGAGATTGAAGTCTTTCATGATAACTTCCGACATAAGAGAGAATGACAGCGAAAAATCTGAGCCGGAATCTTCTGGGACATGGCATTCGGATCTGCTCGGTCCGTCGTGCTTTGTCTCGGATCTCTCAAACGAGGGGCAAAAAAAGACATCGTGAAACTTTCTGCTTCTGTGTCAAGTAGCTCGCCTTCATCTCGAACCGGACAGCTCTTTCTGAGCGACTTTCTGGCCCTCGATTCGATTCGTGTCCGTAATGGGATCATTAGGAAACAATTAGCATTACAGAAGAGCTCAATTTGACCAAATGGAGTCGCTCGCTTGCCTTATACAATTTCCCTCGCCGGGGGAATACGCACCTACCTCTGGAGGGCACTAGGTGGAAATCCACTCACAACTGGTCGGTCGTCAGTCACACGATAAGACTAAAATCCTAGCAACAACACTTGCTGTCAGCGCCTGTGGTGTCAGATTTCCTGCATGCATTTCCATGTCAATCTAGTCAAACGCCTTCCGTACCCGACTCACGGGCTGGAGAAAAATTGCAGAGCATTCAGGAACAATGGGATTGGAAATTACAGTGAGAGAGGGGAATCAGGGCTGTGTTCCAAAAGGAATTGCATTTCACGAGGCCGATCGTATGTCGACCGAGATTGAAAACCGGTCGGTCTCCTGATCGACCGTAAAATTGAAGTCCAATGGACGAACAAAAACCGAAGGAGGTTCACAGAAGGGAATCAGATGTACAGGCGGGGGATAATCGAATTGGACAGCAGACCTAAAAAATACATGACATCGTCATAGACTAAGTACAAAACGTACGATTTAGAGTCATCCTCTTTGGCGCTAGGCTTTCCTTTCTTGGAGGACTTGGGCTTGGATTTGTCAGCCCCCTCCGGCCGACTCGAAGGTGCGTAGATCGGATACTCATCGAGCTCGCGCGTCTTGCGGGGCGGCTCTGGGATGAGAGTGGAAGGGTTCCAGGGTGGTCTTCCCGACAGCGTGTCCCCGAGTTGCTGCAGCATGCTGCGCTTCCGTTTGGGATCGTCTGCCGACTCGGACCCGGTCTTGGATCGCGAAGCATCGGATTGTGCTTTTGCGCCTGGGGAGTTGGAGCACGTGTTGCCCATTTTGTAAGTCTAGTGTCGAGCTCGGGAGGTGGTGGTGATGGTGGTTGGTGAGACGGTTAAGGAATTTTTACAATTCAAGTTCCATACGAGCATTCTGAACTCGTGATCGTAGTCGCTACATCGAGTTATGGATCGATCCGGCGGCGGATTGGTTCCTCTTCACTTCTTCTCCTCGTCGTCATTCTTGTCGTCCTTCTTGTCGTCCTTCTTCTTCTTGCCCTTGGGTTTCATCTTCTTCACCTTCCCCGCGATTTTCTGCACGATGCTCTTCTTCCTGGGAAGTGCGGGATCCTTGGGCGCTGTTCCATCGGCCGAGCAGTTGTTGCCCATCTCTTCGCTTCTCTCGTAACTCTCTCTCTCCGACCTCAACTCTGCACAGCCCACCCGATTTCAATCAACACATGCCTCCCCCCGACCATCGAGCGACCGAAGGCTCCAAATCAATCCGACCAGGCGAACACCACCGCGACAAGCTTAGAATTGAGGCTCTAGGATCCTTCTGAACTCCGTGCAGACAGACAGACAGACAGATCGACCGACGAGCATGAATGGATGTCCATCGACAAATTCGGCTGGAGAAGGTTGGCGCCGGTGACCATTGTAGAGAGCCACGACGACGACCACCCAACCGAGGAAGTTAAAAGCTTTGCCCATCCCGGTCTGCGAAATGAACATTAAGCCGGCCTAATCATTCGAGAGACAGGAGATTGGGCCCCAGCGGGGAGGAGATGAGCTTATTGGAAGGGAATGCAGATTGAGTTAGCATAATGGGTCGATCCCTTAGCGAGGACCGATTAAATCGGTCGAGAAGTCCGCACCACAATGGAAGCATTTCACGGGAAAGGATCGAGCAGATTGGTGGAACGAAGGAGGGATTGTCTGATTATCGAAGGGAGCACCTGTTTCGATGGTTCGAGTCGAGACTTGGAATGTGCAGTTTCGCTGCGTCCTAGCGTCCACGCATTCCTGCGGCCGGGCTCACCCACGCCCCAAGGCCTAACTCGAAAGAGTGTGTCCACTGAAAGCACCGTCGTCGTTTGTTTCAGAGCGTTTGGAACCAGAGCTGATGATCAGCGCCGAGCAGGTGCGTCGTTTCGCCTCGATTCCAGCGTCCCCGGGGGCTTTTCCTCCGCACGATGCGCCTCCCCTGCTCTGGCCATGGCGGAGCCTCGCTGCCGCCTGGCTCCGGCTCCGGCTCTGGCTCTGGCTCGTGCTCGAAACCTCTGCCTGTGGCGCACTTCGACCGATCGAACGAGCCCCGCGGATGGCATATTTCCCCCGAGGTTGAATTCCAGGGGACCATATTTCAAGTCGTATCCAAGCAAGTAGACACATTAGCTCCATCAATGGCTCGGATTCATGAGAGATCTAGATTTCCACAGCATTCAATTTGGACATCGTTCAAAAGGCCTGTACTGTAAACTTCCCAGTTCTTTCAATTGAATATTCGGCTTCATATCCGAATCGAGGAATGTGTGGTTTTCCAATCGATTCGCTATAAAGACTGCTAAAGCGAAACATCGTGATCGTTACAAATGAACTCCATCTGGAGTAAACGGGATAAATTGGGATCATTGCAGCCATGGCTAAGAGCATGAAACTATAGAGCAAGTCGTGACGCAATTTTCAGTACTTTGATCGCGACCAGCGAGCGGGTGCTACAGACATATTCCGGTTGTCCTATACAGTATTTGTACAGAGACGTGAATAATACTAATAAGCAGCAAACTGATTCAGAAAACGCGGATCCCCACTGGCCTCCTAGCTCTACAAAGCTTGGACGATATGAAGGCCACCGGGACTCCATGGCACGCAACGATTGCCATTCTCGAGAGGCTGGATCGATCCGACGGGACGGGTACAAGAAACCCTTCTCGTGCTCGTGAGTCGGATGGACCGGATCTCCACTGGACCGAATCTGCTCGGGCCTGCGGAGCTGAGAAATTCCGGGACTGAGTGAGTGATTATGTTAGGATCGGTCCGTCAGGAGATCGACGGGGCAGCGGCAGCTCTCGCTTGTCTAATTGAATGAGAAGTCGAACTCGAAGTCCTGTTCTTCGCACTCGGGCTCAGACTCCGAGGTCCAGCCACTATGTTCCTCCTCCTGCTCTCCCTCCTCTCCCTCCTCTCCCTCCTCCTCCCCGTCCTCCTTGTCGTCGTCCTCCTCCTCGTCCTGCTTCTCCGCGTGTACCTTTATATGTGGGAGAGGTCCAACTACGGGCTGCTCCGCAGCGACTGACTTCCTTGGCTTGTGATAGCGACGCTGGCCAATATGTTGGATCTTGTGCATCAAGTGGTCGAAGGTCGACTCGTCCTCCTTCTCAGATTTGACGCTTGTCAGCTCGGGCTTCACGACGGGGAGCACATTCGCCGGCTTGAAGGAGAATCCGACGATCAGAGAACCCCTCTGGTCTCCATGGAACATGACCGGGTACTCCTTGTCGGGGACCTCGTCCTCGTGCTCGTCGAGCAGGTTCTTGACGTCGATTTTGCAAGTGCCGCGGCGGCTGTCGTAGACGTAGTCCTGGTCGTAGATGAAGATTTTCAGGTACTGGTAGAGGCTGAGGTTGACGTAGGCCGCGATCTTGAAGCTGAACTCCTCGTCCCACACTGAGTCCGAGCCTCCGTCCGTCACCACCTTGCTCGACCTCCTCTCGCCCCCCAGCGACATATTGGCGAACACATCCGCCTTGCCGAATCCGAGAGCCTCATCTCCTTTGATTCCTTTCGACTGCTTCAGCCTGACGATCAGCTCTCCCGCCCTCGGCATTTTTGAAGTCGACGGATTCTCCTCTCCTTTCTTTGCTCCGATCGATCCGAGTTCTTCTGATTGATCTCGGATCGCTGTCACTGGCCTCCTAGCTCCCCAGCTCGTGAGCTTCCTGCGCCTGAATTGTCCAGAAGGGAGTGCGAGCTCTATGTAGACGCTTTGAGACCCGAGCTCTTCAGGTAGCGAGCCATTGGGGTTCTGGCCAGTTTGGAGTCACTCGTCGAACTGGGCCTGCAGAGTTGTCGAGTGTGAGAGCATCTTGGCCATGTTCAGAAGGACCAGGACGAGTAGGACCCTGAGTCGCCGCCTCCGCTGCCGATATCAAGAGTAGCCAGCCATCTTGTGCTCGAGCTCTGCTTATTATCTAATTCATGGAGAGCTGTAGGCGAGTTTGAAGGGGAGGAATATGCTCGGGGGCACTAGAATACCCACAGGGACGTGGGTGTGAGTTCATATGGCGACAAGCTGAAAGCAGTCGCTCCAGTGGATCGCTGCCAGACCAGTGGACTGCTGAACATTCTGATTTCTTGTCGAGATCGTCCGATCGGAGGGTTGTGGCACACTTTTCATGGCTCTTGTTCGGCAGAAGCTCTGTCCTCGGTTCCCCCGTCAGTTCGTTCTGCCACTTTCTTTCGTCTAGTCCTCAGGCGGAACGTTTTCACTCCATCCTGAACTCGTTTGAAAAGGTTCGACATTCCCAGTCGGAGAAATAGACCGCCTTGGTGTGCAAACAAAGCCCGGGTCCCATACATTTCCACAGTAGATTGGCATTTAGCTGATCTTAACAAATTGACTTGAGAGAGAATCCGTACAAAATTGGTCAAAAGGAATACAATCGACGACGACGGATCCGAAAGACCCGCTGACTCCAACTTCAGTCTTCGGATGCGGAATCTGCACAGCTGCTCGATGCATTATTTTCTGAGATGCTCAGTGCACCATCTTCATCAAGCAGTACTTATACTCCTTGTTAACCAGTTCTGTTGCATCGCAAGACCCCGTCATGAGCTCAGATGTATGCTTAAGCCGATCCTGATGAGCGAACCACTCGCCCCTTCGTTCTTAGTTATAAGCTCTCTCGAGCATAAATAGAGTTTTTCTTGACGGTTTTAAACAGCTGGACGTCGTGATTTAGAGAAATGTTTACGATGGAATCGTGGGTGGTATCGCAAAAAAGCGACAACCTTTGCAAGATTTCTCCTCGTCTCTCACTGCGAGCTAAGTGTCTCACTTCCACTCAATGAACTGTGGTGTGGGTGCTGCTTCTGGTCGTTTTGTAGGCAAGAAAGATCTACTTATGCCGGCCTTGCTGATTGTTATACTTCCACTCTTTAGCTATCAGTGGATCAATTTTGACGAAACAAGAAATTTGAGCGTTTTCCTCCTATTGCTAAATTGATATGAACGATCGAATTTTTCAATATGGAAAATGGAGATTAACGAAAGATGCAGGGTGATGATAGTCTGAAAGTTTTGATTTTATGGTATTTCTTTCATTTCTTTCGTATTCAAAAACAGTATCTTTGAATGCAAATCTCCAGTGTTGAGCACTTTCACGAAAGATGATACATTCAAAAAACTGCTCTGCTGAACAGCAGAATGAATTCAATGACGATTCTCGATCATATTAAGAGAACTTCGACATCGGTTGTGCGCGTCCGTCTACTTCATTCCACAGCCCTTGGTCCTGTAAGCGCACTGTTAGACTGCAGTAAGGGCCTCATGCTAGTTCTGGAAAGTCCTAACACCACACTGATGCTCCAGTGATTCAACTCACTGAAGAAACGAACTAATCAAAGTAATTCAAGATCGAAGTGAACAATGTGACCCAGAATCAAACTCTCCGACCTCTATTTGACATTCACTGAAGAACTCCATACCAATCTTCAAATTCTTGCCTATTCGATTGTTGATTCGTTTCTTCGTATACCCCTAAATTGTAAAAAGCAGATGAAGATTAGCATGGAGTACAGAAACGTAGATCACATAGAACGCAATTCTGGGCCGCAGTGCTGACTCCAATCTTCACCTTCTCTTACTGATAGATTCATTTTCTTTCTTCCCGTAGACATCTTTGCTTTTATTTTAGTGTAATCTACGAGAAGGGTATGAGTAGGGGAAGGCATCAACAAACAAATCACGAGACTTTAAAGTCTCAGGAACTGATGATGAGGGATCGATATAAAACCCCAACGCCCTATAAAAATTTCATCTAAGGGATTACTGAACTTACGGAGAGCTTCTGTTTGTCATGCTAAAACCAGGTCTGCTCTTCTTCAGGTTCGGTTGGAACTGTAGAAAAAGCACCGTCCCATGTCCAGGAGCCACCGTTGAAAGTTGGCTTTAGAAATAAGTGAAGCCAAGGTGGTAAAAGCACAAGATATGCATTTTCTTTTGAGAACTGTAAAATGTGCAAGAGGTATACGAGCAGTATGCAAGTAGGGAGAACGTAAACCCTGTGCTTCTAAAAGTAAAGGAGGTCAGCATCAGATCGCAAACTTACGTATATACCGCTAGTTCGGAAGGAGAACGCTGAAACGAAGAACAGAGAACTTCCTACCCTTGTGATTTCTTTCCTGATTCGAAATAACTTTGGAAGATCTTCATCTCAGAAACAAAACCTTCCACTGCGAAGATGCATCACATGCGCGTAAAATGAAGTCGATAATGTGTGGATCGGCAGCATCATTCTGCCAGATGTCGAAAATAACCGATCAGTTGCATGTAATTCATGGTATGACCGCACTTTCTCTGCAGGTAGCTCTCTATATAAAATAATCACATCTCATGTCTTCTTGTGGTATAAAAACAAACCCTGTTTTTCCATGTAAATGTCGAATAATTCGGTTCGCAGTCAACATCCTAGTGCTCTTCTTCCTCAGTGACCGCGACATCTCTGTGACAAGCGAACTTGTGTTGTATCAGAGCTAAGTGTTATGACTTTATTCTGAATTAACTTCATAGAAAATATCAGTTTCTACATCAGATTTACCAACGGGTGTCCTGGAATGGAGGAAGAAGACAATCCAGTATAACACAGTTCTGTGAAAGATACATCACACAAGATCAATCACGTCCGATCATAAGTGCAAGAGTTTTCTGATTTCAGTAGAATGAGTTCACTCCAACATGGGACTGTACAGGATGGGCATCAAGGGTCCATGAGTGCTAGCTTTTTCTGTACCGGTTACGTCAGGTTAAATCAGCAGCTTCAGTCAATGCATAGATAGCAGATCTCCGAGTTAGAAGATATGAAGTACATATTTTCAGGACAGTTAAATCAACACAATTCAAGAGCTCTTCTCCATTATATGATTTCAATTACAGAGTAGAGACAGAATTGGGAATTGAGAACTGAAAGTCACTCGCTGATAGTATCCAAGGTTCTAATAAAAATCAGAAGTCCGCGGTCATAATTCTGATCATAGTAAAGTATGAATAACCTGGAAGAGGTGAAGAGATTGATCTTGTTAATAAGAGACGTAGATGGCTCTCGGGATACCGGACAAGAACCCCCGGCCAACTCCCGATTCGCAAAAGAAGGAAAATTTCCATCCGAGATCCGACCTGGAAAAGGTACCTCAAGGTCAACTGTCGACGTCAACAATAGTGAGAAAAATCTTGGCGTCCAGTCCAAGCAGAGGTGAACTTAAACTACTCTGCATCCAGGAAGTCAACAAGGTCCTAAAGCGAATTGTTGAGTCTGCTGAATCAACGAAGTCATTCACTTCTCTACAAGTCATGCCCTCAGACCGCTTTAAGATTCAGGAAGTTAGATTGATACACTTTAGGCATGATTCAGAATTGGTTTAGGATTCAGGAAGTTAGATCGGATACACTTTAGGCATCATTCAAAACCGCTTTTAGATTCAGGAAGTTAGATCGGATACACTTGAAGCATCCATCTATTTCAATGTTCAAGCTAACTAAGAATATGTGTCACCGAGTGAGGTTGATAAAAGGAAAGCAATGCAGCAAAGGAGACCAAAGAAGTGAATACTAGCTTCCTGACTCCAGGACAGCTACCGCTACAGCTGTTGCCTTTGAACCGTGTGAGCTGATGCATTGTAGTGATTCTTAACGAACAACCTATGAGTGTGAACATCGTAGGACATGATCATACCAGACTCCGCTCTGGGATTCTTATTTACTTGTCTCTTCTTCTCGTTCGTCTTGACCTTGAACGGCTCCAAGCCTGCAACTCCAGCTGTCGACATGTGAGGCCACCAAGTTTTCCTCCTGGTTGACACATCTTGAAGTGTACTGCAGGTGTGGAGGAGTTCGCCTTGCTATGACTTCCCAGCAATGAAGGTACGACATCTCAAGAGGAATTTCCTTCTTGAACTTCTCTACGTCTGAAAGCATGCCTCGGACGATGGTTCCTTTCACAAACGTACACAGGTTGGTGATTGTACACATCTACACATTGTACGTGGATAAAGTGCCTTCCATCTTTTCGTACACGCCCTCATAAAGAATATCCGAAGAAAGTCGTCATGGACTTTTATCAAGATGCTGTAGATGCCATATCTACAATGGACCAACCCCTAGAGGTAAAGTAACCCGATGTAGAGAACCTTGTCAAGCACATCGTCTTTCAACTAGAAACATCTCCATCTGTAATCAGAATTTTAAAAACAAGGAGTCTAAAAGCAGGAGCGAGTTACTCTCTACTTCGCTATGATAAATTCATCCCTCTTGAAATGCCAGCTATATGCTACTCATGAGTACGGGTGGTAGCCTGCTGTCCCCAACAGCGCCGTAACGATTGCAGATGCGATGTCTAAACTACTGATTGCAAATGACAGCCGTATAAGTGATACTTGATGCCTGTCATGATAAAAGCTGGACACAATCTCAAACAAATGTTTTTATCTCTAGGGATTACTTCCATGTCCAGAGCAAACGGAATGCAGATGTGTCGCTCTTGTAAGCGTCTGTATTTGAGGGTGTTAGATTTGAGAGAAAGTCGGTCGTTCATGGTATTACTCGCTGTCTCATCCAAAAAGCACGGTCTCCTCATGACTCTGGTCAGAAATGGACCCAGGCAGATGATGTGCGATACTTGCTGCGAGGACGAAGAATGAGTGTTTTAGCAACATCAATCTCTTGGTACAAGTGGTGTGCTGACTACTGAACTTGTTCGCAACTCCTTTATAGACATTTAGGAATTTCCATGTGAAATTTTATATCCATGAACTTCATTCAGATCATTGTGTATTGCATTGATTTTGTGTATTTCGCAAGCTTCAAAGAAGTTCAACGAGGATTCCAGCCATGCAGGGTGCGTGTGGGACACAAGTTCACTTCCTCCCGCTAA